TTATAACTGTACTTTTTGATTCTGGGGCTTCTCATTCTTTCATATCCCTATCTTCTGCTTAAAAGTTAAAATTGCCAATTTCCACTTTATCTTCTTATCTTGAAATCGTTCTTCCTACTGGAGAAAAGATAACCACATCTCAAGTATGTAGAAATTGTCATTTTCAACTTGAAAGAAAATTGTTTGAAGTAGATTTAGTTTGTTTGCCTATGATTGATATAGATGTGATTCTTGGTATGAATTGGTTGTCTAATAATGGTGTGGTCATTGATTGTTATAATAAAAACATAATTTTCACAAAAGAGTTAGAACTTCCCAATGAATATTTATTCTTGTCAACTTTCTAACTTAGGAAGAATTTGTTAGATGGAGCACAAGGATATGTTCTCTTTAATCTTTCAGAAGCAAAGGTTAAACCTGATGCAACCAACATCCCTATTGTCTCTGAATACTCAGAGGTTTTTCGGATTAAATTCCAGGTTTACCCCCAAACAGAGAAATTGAATTCTCCATTGACCTAATACCTGGAGTAGGACCAATTTATATTGCACCCTATAGGATGTCACCTGTAGAGCTTGTTGAACTAAAGAAACAATTAGAGGAACTTCTATAAAAACAATTCATCAGACCAAGTGTGTCACCTTGGGGAGCACAAGTGCTCTTTGTCAAGAAAAAAGATGAAAGTATGAGATTGTGTGTGGATTATAGGCAACTAAATAAAGTCTCCATTAAAAATAAATACCATTTGCCTAGAATAGATGACCTTTTAGATCAGTTGAGAGGAGCCACAATGTTTTATTAAATAGATTTAAGATCCGGATATCATCATATTAGGATTAAGACTGAAGATGTTCCAAAGATAGCCTTTAAGACTAGGTACGGACATTATGAGTATCTAGTGATGCCTTTTGGATTAACAAATGCTCCAGCTATATTTATGGATTATATGAATAGGATTTTTAGATCTTACCTAGATCAATTTATAGTAGTGTTTATTGATGATATTTTAATATATTCTAGAAATAGAGAAGAACATAAGGAGCATTTAAAGATTGTTTTACAAATTTTAAAAGATAAACAATTGTATGCCAAACTTTCAAAATGTGAATTCTGGATGGAAGAAGTTAAATTCTTAAGACATGTTATATCAAAAGAAGGAGTGACAGTTGATCCTAGTAAAATTGAGGTTGTAGTACACTGGGAGAGACCTAAAACTATTACTGAGATCGGGAGTTTCCTAGGATTGGCAGGATAATATAGAAGAATTACTAAAGGATTTTCACAATTAGTATTACCTTTAACTAGGTTGACTAGAAAGGGAATCCCTTTTCTTTGGACAGAAGAATGTGAAGATTGTTTTCAAGATTTGAAGAATAAGTTAACATCTGCACCAATTTTAATAATCTCTGATCCCTTAGGAAAATTTGAAGTTTATAGTGATACATCTAGAAAGGGATTAGGTTGTGTTTTAATGCAAGAAAGAAAAGTTATAGCTTATGGGTCGAGGCAATTAAGACCTTATGAGGAAAATTACCCCACTCGTGATTTAGAATTGGCTGCATTAATTTTTGCACTCAAGATTTGGAGGCATTATTTGTATGGAGTCAAATTTGAAGTTTTTAGTGATCATAAGAGTCTTAAATATTTGTTTGATCAAAAAGAGTTGAACATGAGGCAAAAGAGATGGATCTAATTTTTTAAAGATTATGATTTTGAACTCAAATACCATCCAGGAAAAGCAAATGTGGTGGCTGATGTCTTAAGCAAAAAATCTCTTCATGTGTCACATTTAATGATCAAAGAAATGGAGTTATTGGAAAAATTTAGAGACATGAGATTATCTGTAACTGTGTTGCCTCGAAGTTTAGGTATTAGTGAAATAAGGATTGAAAATGAGCTAGTAAATAAAATTAAAGAAGCTCAGTAGGAGGATCTTAGTCTAGAAAAAATGTTGGAACAGGAAGGATTTACCAAAGAGGATGATGGTTTGGTTAAGTTTCAAGGAAGGATTGTTGTACCTAGGAAGGAGGAATTGATGAAAGAAATTTTAAATGAAGCACATGCTAGTAAATTCACAATTCACCCTGGTTCAACTAAAATTTATCAAGATTTGAAAAAGATATTTTGGTGGCCAGGAATGAAAAAAGATATTGCTGAGTATGTTTCAAAGTGCTTAGTTTGTCAAAAGGTAAAAATTGAACATCAAAAACCTTCAGGATTACTTCAATCATTAGATATACCAGAATGGAAGTGGGAAAGTGTAGCAACTGATTTTGTGATGGGTTTACCAAGAAACCAGGAGGGGTATGATGCAATTTGGATAATCATTGATCGATTAACCAAATATGCTATTGAAAGATTAGCTCAGCTGTATATAAAAGAAATTGTCAAACTTCATGGAGTACCTTTAAGTATTGTGTCAGATAGAGACCCTAGATTTACTTCTAGATTTTAGAGATCTTTGCAGCAAGCCTTTGGAACTAAGTTAAGACTGAGTACAACTTACCATTCTCAAACTGATGGTCAAACAGAAAGAACCATTCAAACCTTAGAGGATATGTTGAGAGCATGTATATTGGAGCAAGGAGGTAGTTGGAATAAATACATGTCATTAATAGAGTTTGCCTATAATAATAGTTACCACTCTAGTATTAGAATGGCTCCCTATGAGGCACTTTATGGGAGGAAGTGCAGATCTCTTGTGTGTTGGTTTGAAAAGGGAGAAAAACAGTTGTTGGGACCAGAATTAGTCCAAGAAACCTCGAGACAAATTCAGATGATTAAAGAAAATCTTGAAAAAGCTCAAAACAAACAAAAAAGTTATGCTGATAACAGGCGTAAACCTTTGGCTTTTGAAGAGGGAGAACGTGTCTTTCTTAAACTTTCTCCTACAACAGGTGTAGGAAGAACTCTTAAAGTTAGGAAATTGAGTCCTAGGTATATTGGTTCATTTCAAATACTTCAAAAAATAGGGTCAGTTGCTTACCAACTTGTTGTTCCACCTCATCTTTCTAATCTTCACAATGTCTTTCATGTTTCTCAGCTTAGAAAATATGTCTCAGATCCCTCTCATATTCTTAATATAGACTCAGTACAAGTTAAAGAGAATTTGACTATTGAGACCAGACCAATCCAAATTCTTGATAAAAATATGAAGCAACTGAGAAATAAAGTGATTCCATTAATCAAAGTTTTGTGGGAAGGACTTTCATCGCATGAAGCGACGTGGGAAAAAGAAGAAGAATTACAACAGAATTATCCAGAATTTTTCTTAACAGGTATGTCAAAATTTTAATTAGAAGAGGAGAAATGTAATATTTCAAAAAAATGAAAATAAATAAATAAATTTTACGCTTGAAGCGCATGGGCTGTGTTTGAAGCGCAAACCTTCCAAAAAAAAAAAAAATGAGCGCTCAATGAAGAGCTGAACGTTAACATATATATATATATATATATATATTTACGAATATGCGTTAATAATAATAATAATAATAATAAGTAAATTGATAAATGAAGAAAAATAGATATTTGTATATATATATAACTACATAAAACAAAAAAAAAATTATGTTTTCAGCATTGAGGCTGCGCTTCTAGCATAGAGGTTGGAAGTATTGGATATATATATATATATATATATATCATAATTGCAAAATAATTATTAAATAATAAAATATGAATAAATAATAAATATAAAAGCAATATAAATAAAATATAATAACATAGTAGTAAATAAAATAATATATATATATATAAACATATAAGTGTATAATAAATTGAAAATAAAGACACTACGTGGTAACACCCCACATCTCCAACACAATGAAAATAGAAGATTCATTTAACAAAACAATCATTACATGATGTAGATATTATTTAGGAAAAGCAGAAGGTTACGTAATATGAGTTACGTAACCTATACACGTAATACATTCTTCTCTATATAAATACGTCCTTGCATAAAACGAAAGAAAGAAAATCAAAGACAGAGGATAAGAAAGAACAGAAGAAAATCTTAAGAGAGAAAACGAGAGGATTTGGGAGGAGAAAGGAAAACAGAATCAAAATAAGGTAATATTGGGTGATGACAAAAGTTCTCTTATTTTTATTTTTATTTTTATTATTTATTTTTTGAGAACAAAAATTTATTTACAAGCCTCTGTTGTTCTACCAAATTATTCTTTTTATTTATTCTTTACTTGGAGTTTATTTCATTATAGTAGTTTGATTTCTTCACTAATTTTATTTCTTACAGTATCTATAGTTTTCTTTTAGATTTTATTTCCTTTAACATACTGATTATCTAGTGCTGTAATGAATTGGTACCAAATAATTACAAAGATAATGTGTAAATTTAATTGATGAAGACTTCTATGAACTGACCCACAGAGTTGGGTTCAGACGATTATAGGGTAAGGGACGCCTTATCGTGGTTTGAGCTCCTCCATAATAAATCTTTCATATGCAGAAAACCACAAAAATTGGGAAATTATTTAGCTTCAGTTAAATATTACACAATATATTATTTTATTATATTATTTCGTTTTATTAAATTATCTGAGAGAATGGTATTTTCCATTATTACGGCTGGAAATAGTTATAGTTAAAAAACCTCAATATTACTGAGAATTTTCTCACGTGTGTTTGTTTTATACTAACCTTTCCAAAAAATCATAATGTCTAGTCTAAGTTTATCAGGTGAAGGATGGAGTATCAATATTTACTCTTACGAAGACCACATGGAGCTTTATATTGTAGTAGGAAATCAAGGAGCTGCTGCAATATTCTATGCTGAAAGTGTTGAGACCTACACCTATAGACTAGATTAGGACAAGACTTTTGTATTGTATAATTATGTAATACCAGTATGTAGAATATAAGTTAAAGTGATGTAATATTTAGTAGAACGTAGGACCAATGTAAAATAACTTCCGTATGTACCTGACTTAATATTATATATAAAGTAAGGTTGGTCGATGTTTGTATAGTTCCTTTTTAATTTTCTTATCATCAATATCAAAATTTAAGGAAATCATATAATATCCCTTATAAGAGTTAATTTTAAAGGATGTTACTTGTTGGCAGGTGGGGCGGGCAAGTCCTCTCAGCTAAACCCAGTTTGCAACCGTTAACTATCAGCATTTTAAGTAAATAATTATTTTTTTGCAAGGATTTGTGTCATTAGTATTTTGAATTTTATAAATTTATATTTACAAAAATTGAAATCAGATTTATGAATTTATTTATTAAAGAAGAATAATGAATTTTTAATTTAATTATAAAAATTAGTTGGTGGGCTGGCGCTCCGGGGCAAGCCTAGTTTGTTACCTCTAACTATCAGTATTTTATATCAGTATGTAATATGTTTTTATATTTATCCACACAAAATTGTTCTTATAGTTGCATCTAGATTACTATATATCTATATTTTTATAGTCGCGTTTCAATCGACTCTTTGTAGTCTGTGTATTTGTGACATATATAAGAGATAAAGAGTTGAAAAATATTTGAGTTCATACGTTTAATATTCTATCAAACACTTTATAGATGAAGTTGAATGGAGTAACATCAAAAGACCATTCATTAGTTTAGTTTTATAATAATAAATATTATTAATAGGCTTAACAATTTTCGATGCAGAAAGCTGTGGTATTATTAATAAGCTTAATAATCACCTATGCAAAAAGTAGTGAGATATTTTTTTTTTTTGGTAATCAGTAATGAGATATTAATATAGTTGTTTGATATCCAATTTTAAACTTTTTTTTCCCACCTATGAAGTTTAAATTTAAAATTTAAAATATTTTTTATCAACTATAAATATATTTTTATAATTTTAAATATATTTTTTGTTTAATCTATAATTTTACATTAAATTCGAATTTATTATATATATATTTTTTCCACTGCAGAAACATTAAATGCTGAAGTCTTTTTCCACCTATCAAGTTTAAATTTCAAATTAAAATGTTTAAATTTTAAATATTAACTATTTTCTCATCCAATAGTAAATATTGTTAATAGAAGTAATAATTTTTCATACAAAAAGTGTGAAAAACATTCATAGAAGGTTGTGTACTTTCTCCAAATAATAGTTTTTAGTTATTCATTCATGACATAGAAAATTATGTTAATTATACTCTTGCAATAAAAAAAAGAAAGTTTAATTTATTTCTTATATACTAAATTAAAATTTTTATTTTTATGATGATTAAATTTTTATAATTTGTTTTTTTACATAATGATAGAGGTCATTTTATTTTTATTTAAACTTAAAATTTAAATTCTTTTGTATTAATTATACATTTTTATATAAATTTTTTCTTTTAATTTATGGTTTTTATACATTTTTTTAAATTGGTTATACATGTATATTTAAAATATTTATGTTAAATATTTTTAAAAAAATTACTTATATGGAATTTTTTTCTCTTTTTGCATTATATTTTTAAGTTAAAATTTTGATAAATTTTCTTTTAAAGTATAAATACGTCATTTCTTTTTTATTTAAATTTAAATTTTATATTATTTTTTATCAACTATACATGTATTTTATAATTTTATATTAAAAATTCAAATTATATATATATATATATATATATATATATATATATATCATGTTCCCATTACAGAAACATTAAATGTTAAACTCTTTTTTTACTTATCAAGTTCAAAATTCAAATTTAAAAAATTCAAATTTTAAATATTAAATAAATTTGGACCCAATAGACATAATAATTAATATTATTAATAGGTTTAATCATTTTTCTTACAGAAAATAGTAAAAAAAACATGCATAGAAGGATATGCACATTCTCAAAGTAAAAATTTCTAGTTTTCATTTACGACATAAGAAATTGTGTTTTTTTTACTCTTACATCAAAAGAATGAAAGTTTAATTTCTTTCTTATATATTAAATTAAAACTTGTATTTTTATAGTGATTAAATTTTATTATTTGTCTTTTACAGAATGAGAAATGTCATTTTTTATTTAAATTCTTTTATTTTCATTGTGCATATTTTTTTATATTTGTAACACAAATATAATGAACAAATATGAGTTGATACAAAAAATATTCTACTAAATCGAATGTTTGGTAAATTGAATTGAATAAGCACTTTTCGAAAAAAAATCTGTTTAAATGCTTTCTTTTAAAAAAAGCAGAAGTCATAAAAAAAGTCAAAAATCTACTTTTTTCGTAAGCTAAAAATTTTAGCTTCTCAAAAAAGCAGAAGTCAAAAATCAAATATATTTTCTAAAAAAAAATTTTAAAAAAAAATCTAAATAGCGGTAGCTTTTAAAATAAAAAAGTTATAAAAAGAACTTTTTTGATAAGTCAATATAAACCGGCTCTAAGAGACTATGATCTAATGATTCAGAATCTGACTAAAAAAAAGTTAAAATTTCAATACATGGTAAATAATGAAAAGAAATAAACTTGTGTTATTCATTATTCAAAACTCGAAGGATTTTTGGGAGCGTGTCCATAGATATAAATAAGAGGAAGGTTATACTTATAACTTATTTTTGTTTTTAACTTCTTACAACCATATTTTAACACCATTGATTTTCACCAATTAACGGTTATTATTTTTTTAAATTAAATTTATTAATTAATTATTAATCCACAATAAATGATAACCGTTGATTGGTGAAAATCAACGGTTAAGATATGGTTGTAAAAAGTTGTAAACGAAAATAAGTTGTAAGTATAACTTTCTTCTATAAATAATATTAATAATAAATCATGTGCCTCTCCCAATGTCTCAAGGTTCTGGGAGAGCAAGTTTTGTGACCAGTTTTTTTCTCCTTCCTGGTCTCTTTCATTTATTTTAGTCGGATTGACCTGATGAACCCCATAAAATAGCCAAAACCAACGTTACGATTTCGGATTACAATATGAGCCTTTGATTATTGACAAGATAAATCTAAAATGATCTCTCTCAAATTTGCCTTGTGACTATATATTAGTGATGCTCCGATTTTTACCGATTCCATGAAATTTTTTTCCTTTACCACCAACTATTATTGACGACGATAACCAATTAATATGTTGTTTTTAAGTCTCAAGAAATTTGTGACTATATAATATTATAATTTAGTGAGAGTCCGATTTTTACCCATTCCATGAATTTATTTTCCTTTTCCACCAACTATTCTTGACGATGATAACCAATTAATATGTTGTTTTAAGTCACAAGAAATATATAAGACCGAGTAATACTACCAAATATTTAATTTAGCTCTAAGTCTTCCAATTGTATCAGCAGTATTTCGAGAAATGCTGAGTACACCAATTGGTCGAGGTAATACTGAAGCATTTGCCTTGACTTAGTTGTGAAAGCATCATAACTAGTGTACGCTTTGAAAAAGCACGCATGTAGTTGCTATAGAATGGTTCCTCCATCAAATATATAATTAATTACCGTAAAGATAAACTGCAAACCAATGCAATGGCTCCTCCCTATAAAAGGTAATGTTCCCATGCAACAAAACTCAATTCTCATAAACAATTACATACACGGAATCATTAGAGTAGAGCTGAGAGAGAGATAAAATGATGACCAAAACATTTCTTTTTCCAAGTTCAAACAAGGTTTAGTCTAGGCATTTCCCCCCTTTATCACTCTATAAATTAGCTGCACTTTAGACCAAATACCACATAACTCAAGTAACTCCATTGAACAAATTCTGAGACAACAATGAAGACTATCCAACTCTCTAACAAGTTATGTTGCTCTTGGTTCTTCCTTGGCCTGTTTACTATCATTGCTTCCCTTGCTTCGGCTACAGAGACTCAATACCATCAATTTGTAGTAAGTGTTTGTTTAATGATTACACAATACTTGCTATCAGTTTCTAAGTGTTGTTTTTAACAATACGTAATTGTAATAACTTCAATTATTGGTCAAAATAGGTTCAAACTACTCCAGTGAAGAGGCTGTGCAGAACCCACAACATACTCACTGTAAATGGGCAGTTTCCAGGCCCAACAATAGAAACTAGAAATGGAGATTCTCTTGTAATCAAAGTAGTAAATGCTGGACCCTACAGCCTCTCCATCCACTGGTAAATAGCATCATCATTCATCCTCACATAAATTTCTTGCTAGAACATTTTACCCTTCTGTCAGAACAATTTCCCTAAGAGTAAGACTATTCTCTAGGCTGTAAAATTAAACAAGTAGAAAGAACAGGATGTAATTCACTATGCTAATGATGCATACTTGAAATCCATCTTCCTCACAATCGTATGTGACTTGTGCATCAGGCATGGATTAAAGATGCTGAGAAATCCATGGGCAGATGGGCCTAGTTATGTGACTCAGTGTCCAATCCAACCAGGTGGAAGTTACACATACCGCTTTACAATCACAAACCAGGAAGGGACGCTATGGTGGCATGCTCACACCGGTTTCCTAAGAGCCACTGTCTATGGAGCTTTCATCATTTATCCAAAATTGGGTTCTCCTTATCCTTTCTCTATGCCCAAGAAAGAATATCCCATCCTTCTTGGTACAGCTCTAAAACCATCACTTATTCTGCTCAAATCACTTCTATAATTTCCTTTGCACATTAATCAAACCTTTCCCTCTTCACTTGTTATGAAGCAATGACAGAGTCATAACAGATTTTATTGTGATGATGCTCATACAGGGGAATGGTTTGATAAGGATCCGATGCTTATCTTAAGGCAGGCACAGTTTACCGGAGCAGCTCCAAATGTATCTGTTGCATACACCATGAATGGTCAACCAGGAGATCTCTACAGATGTTCCAGTAAAGGTTTAGAATTACTCTTAGAGTCATAGCTTCCATGCGGATTTGCCTTTTCTTATGATTGAAAATGATATAACAAAAATTTACAATGCAGAAACTGTACGTATTCCAGTAGATGCTGGCGAGACTATTCTTTTGAGAATTATAAACAGTGCACTTAATCGAGAACTCTTCTTTGCAATTGCCAACCACAGAATGACAGTGGTTGCTACAGATGCTGCTTATAGCAAGCCTTTTAACACTCAAGTCCTCATGATCGGACCTGGTCAAACAATCAATGTCCTGGTCACTGCTGATCAAACTCCAGGTCTATACTACATGGCAGCAAGCGCATATCAAACAGCCATGAATGCTTCATTTAGCAACACAACCACCACTGCAATCCTTGCATACAAATCTGCTAGCTGCAGTGAAAAAAATGGACAACAGTCTTCAAGACCAACATTGCCAGTTTTGCCAGCCTTCAATGACACAGCCACTGCAGCTGCATTCACAGCTGGGATCAGGGGTCTTTCCAATAATAAAGTCTTCACAAATGTTGATGTGAGCCTAAATTTTATAGTGGGGTTGGGATTAATCAGGTGCAAAAATCCTAATAGTCCAAGGTGTCAAGCACCAAATGGAACCCGCTTAACAGCCAGCATAAACAATGTTTCTCTTGTACTCCCAACAACCACATCCTTAATGCAAGCCTACTATCAAGGTATTCCTGGTGTCTTCACCACAGATTTTCCTCCTGTTCCCCCACTACAATTCAATTATACTGGCAATGTGCCCCGGGGGCTATGGACACCTTCACGAGGAACTAAGCTCTTCAAGTTGAAGTATGGTTCAAATGTGCAAATTGTTTTCCAGGATACCAGCATAGTAACAACAGAGGACCACCCTATGCATATTCATGGGTTCCACTTCTTTGTAGTTGGTGCAGGTTTTGGTAACTTCAACCCAGCAACAGATCCTGCTAGGTTTAACCTTGTAGACCCACCTGTGAAGAACACCATAGGAACTCCTCCTGGAGGATGGGTGGCCGTTCGTTTTGTTGCTGATAATCCAGGTAACACACTACTCTTATTCTCTGTCTTGCAGAGTTTGTATCAGGCTTAGCAATAGCATTGCATACTAACCAATTCCTTGTGATTTTTGTAACACCCCGTTCTAGAACCGGTTTGTTAACATCTCATTATGATATTAAGCGCAGTTACAATCACATGGGTTCAATTAAAATCCGGATAAATTTTTCATTTTAAAACGTACCGAACTTATAATACCCAATTTCGTGATCATAACCATATTACCTTGCGGAAACAGATAAATTAAGCTTAACATCATGTTCTTATTCCATTTTTAAATCATTAATTTACTTCTTATTTAGTTCACATCTTCTACTATATTGTAGGTTTCTTCATTAGCTACCTGTGGCTTCAAACTGTGCTCAAATCGGAGCACTGTAGCCCAAGTTAGGACAATTTGGAGCAACACAAGAGAGTGTTGGTCACAGGCCCAGCGCGCTTCAGCGCGCTACCGGGCGCTCAAGCGCGCGCTATCGGGCGCTAAAGCCTCCATCTGGGCGCTTAAGCGCACGGAGGCAGTAAGCATCAGACATTCCAGTGTGGATGGGCGCTTAAGCGCGCAACAGGGCGCTCAGGCGCGCTATCCTGGGCGCTCAAGCTCCCACGGGGACGTTTTAGCGCGCAGAGACAGAAGCATCTCCTCCTTCAGTGGCGAAGGGCGCTTAAGCGCGGACCAGGGCGCTCAAGCGCGCAACCCTGGGCGCTTAAGCCCCACCCTGGGCACTAAAACACGAGGGGGCAGTAAGCCACCCAACTTTCTGCAGCAAGGGGCGCTTAAGCGCACGCCAGGGCGCTCCAGCGCGCAATCCTGGGCGCTTAAGCCCCCACTTGGGCGCTCCAGCGCGAGGAGGCAGAATGCATTGGCACTCGCAGGGGCAGCAGGGCGCTTGGGCGCGCTCCTGGGCGCTTAAGCGCGCTGCCAGGGGATTCCAATTCCCACATTTCTCAAATCCAAGCCTAGGGGAAAATGCATCCCCATTACAAACCCCAAATGTCCATGCCCCAAAACTAAATCCTAGCACTCATCCGACCTCTCCTCATGAGATTTAGCTAGAATTAGGGCAGCATGACCTTTGTTTTCTCATCGTTTACCAGTTTAAACGAAGAGGGTACCTAATTGATTTTCAGCCCAACCAATTCAACAACTCAATACATAACAAGCATGCATATATTGAATTCCAAGTAGACATCATTTACATTAAATATCCTTTACAAATCATAGAACTTAGCTTACAAAACACTATGATCATTCCCTTGGCTCCCATCAACAAAAGGTGTAACCAAAGGCATGAGCATAGGCTAAGTTCATCCAATGAATCAAGATATACAAATGATCATGGGCTTTCAAAATAAAATCCTATACATGTCAACTACAAAAGGCATGCATAAACTCAAAGAAGGGCCATATTTCATGCATAATCTAGATAGGGCCACTTGCCACCAGAGGCTCCTGCAGCATCCTTACCTGAAAGGGGGTCCCCATAACACGGGGTGAGATATACGAATATATCCAGTAAACCAGGGGTCCTTGGAGCATCTCTCCACCCCACAGTTCCATATCAGTGTAATAGCAATAACAATAATAATGCAGTAAATACATATCTATGCAAAGTGCAATACATCTCCAGGAGAAATCCCTCGAGCTCTCAAGCTGTCCTAAGGAAACTCAGATGCAAATAGTCCTACTGGCCAGCTAACTACCAAGTATGATTTACGCATCGTCATGCAACATACCAACATAGGGAAACACCATCCTATGCCACACCAAATGCATACACATACGTATAACAAAGCATTACACTATTTTATTGCATTTATATACACAATCACAACCTCTACCCTTTCAGGGCTTGGTAGAACAGTCAAGGGAATTACACCCAAGGTCCGAAGGCTTACCTCAATGCTTCAGTCAACCTTTGTTCTTCACCAACAGTTTCAGCAATCAACTTTTACAAACATACACCTACACATGGTGTAATGCAATCAACACATATTGCATCCAATAACATCTCATAGCTATCAACCAAGCTATACAATTCATACCAAACATAAGCATGAACTCACCTATCCAATGGAGCTAATCAAGCTCCATAGCTTGCTCCAATGGTTGATCACTCACGGTTGGTCCAAATGTCTCAATCCTAGACATCACAAGGACACAATCAATCATTCATCTCACTAATTGTTCAACATGCTAGAATACCAACCAATCCAAGTATGAATTTTCCAATGTTATGAACAATTACCAAATGACTATCTAGGCTCATTTCCACCGATTAAATGACGTTCCTAGCATTTTCCATAACATGCTCTAAGCTCCATTCTTCCTAGAACATAGCTAATTCAACTACATTTCATAAAAATCCCAATTTACTATTCACAAACCCTAACCCATGCAAATTTCAAGGAATCATGAGGTTCAAGGGTTTAAATCTTACCACCAATGGTTGCACAACAATGATGGGAGTGTTCCTCAAGCTCCCATG